AAAAAATATTCTGAGATGTTTCCAGCAAGTTCAGTAACCTTTAAAATTGAAGATTTGCTGAAGTTGAAGACAGAGAATCTGAAATATTCATTTTCAATTCCACCTCTCTGCCTCTGGCCCATCATTACAATATACCACTACATCTTTAATCATCAGCATATTACTATTCTTAAACTGTCGTTATGAGTTCCAGTGTAGTGCTCTGTCACTTAGTCACTTCTGTTTTATAATAAATGCTGACACGAGTTTCCAGAACGAACATCTTTCCTCTGTATCATAAGTCATGTGGTTCCTTAGGCCCCCTCAAATCAGGAAGTGGTAAATCTTTTCACTTATGCACAAGTTTTCAAATATGATATTCGTGGCATTTTTGACAGTCTTTCTTTATATTGCTTCCTTTCCAAACATGTTGCATGAGTATAAAAACTTTGCAAACTTGTGCTTTGTTTCCACGTTCTTTCTTTTTTAAATACTAAAAAAATACAGGCATAAAACAGAGGTACAAAATGACTACACTAAAACTGCTAAGGAGTGCAAAGTGACCACAGACAGAAAACATGCAGATAACATGGAAAATATAAAGTTTGGGTTTGGAAATACAACAATAAAAATAGGTGCCATGTATCTTTAAATTAAACCACATCATTTTCTGACTGAAGTTTGATCTCTAACCACCTCAGCCATCTTTCACTCTATATATATAGCATTCCTTCATTGACACATGCTTCATATTATACACAAAAAGGACAGATATAGAGTCAAAAACTCTTGTGTGTAGTCCATGTCTGACTGTATGGTGGTGATGTCTCAGGCTAGGTTCACTACACCCCACAGACACAGGATCTGTAGTTCTGAACCTGGAGGACAGAAAGCCTTGTTGGCAGTGGGATACAAGTTGATGGAATCACTGGTCATTGGACAGGATGAGTGCCATAAAATACTAGAAAGAAGCCTAAAACGTGTAGTCTAACAAAGTTTACTGCAGTTCACAAAGAGGATTTTCTTCTTTTCCTTTGCTGCTTTACACACTCACCAAACATCGCTCTGACTGTTGCTTGTCACTATTATGCTCTAGCTTCGTGGCTGTCATCCAAGCACAACACACTATGGTCCCCGTGTGATACTGTGTGATAATGACATCATCCAAGTAGGCAGTGGCATATGCAGTGTGCGGACACAGCACCCTGGAAAGTACTGGGGCTCTGAAAAAGCCAAAAGTAAGGTTGACAAATTGGTATTAACTGTACAGAGTGCAGTTTATAAGTAGTCTCTGTCGTCTCTGGAGATAAGGCAATCTACCAGCAGCCCTTGGTTAAAACCACTATCTTGAAAAAGCCAGCGGTTATTCACCAGTCCAGGTGATAGCTGACTAACTGAACTGTGAGACCTCATTATTCTTGCTGTAGATTGAACACACAGAACTGTATAGGCCTGTGTTTCTTTACTATAAGAACTGTGCTTTTGTGCATGACCCTCATGACTCTTGGTCGCAACTGGAATCTGTTGGCGTTTAGTGGTGGAGTAAGTTGTCTCGTAATCCCTGGATTAATGGGTCAATCACTGGTGCCGCCACATGATCCCAAACAGACCTTTATAGGTGCTTTTAAACTGAGAATGTTAAAACATGCAGGATAATTAACATCTGAGTGATTTTCCTATGGTGCTCATATGTGTGCATTGCTTAGTCTTTCACATGCTCACAGCTAGGCATATTGTAGTATTTCTTAATATTCACCAGCTTTCATGCAAAAAAAAGTTCGTTTTGTTTGTTTTCCTGAGACTGAATTGGTGACTTAAATGTCAGTAAAACCGAAACTCTGCACGGAAACTAGAAAGATGAAGATTAGCACTGTAGTACGCCAACACCATCCACCATCAGTCTGTGGTAACAACATAGATGATGATGAAAGCAGGTCACTGCTTTCATAGCTGAGAAAAGAGAAATTTGAATCAAGCGGCTGTTTTAACTGTCTCTACACACCAGCCAAAATAGGAAACTGCACTCAGGCCACTGATTCACATCGAGTGCTGACTGAACATTTTATTTTGTGTTTATTTCTGTTAATTTAGAAATGGTAGCAATGGTGGTGTGGTGTTATTCTTGTGTGCACAGAGCAGTTGTATTGTTACAACATTGGCAGAAATTTTTTTAGGGTAAGAAGGTTTGAAAAATGTACATGACCCACTTCCTAGTGGAAGTTGAGTAACAATCAACCAAGTGGAAATAGGCTTAGTGAGAGTTAAATCACTTCTATAAATTTAATCTTTAATTTTTTTCAATGTATTTATTAGTTTGCTTTTTTTTATTTAATTGGAAAACTGACTATGGATGAAGTGCTTAACTGCTTCCTCAACTGTTCTCATTAAGAAGAACAATAAATAAGTCCTGTGTTACTGGCCATCCTACATTAAACAAAGAAGACACAGAGAATAGCATCCCAAAGACTAGTGTCAGTGAAATACAGCTGCAATAAGTAGCTCTGCTGTGGTTGGAGCAGACAGGTTATGGGCACGCTGACGAGCAGGAGCAGGTATGTATTTGCTACAGCAGGGCTGTACCCACATAGCAAAATTGGTATGGCCCAGATCTGGCCCACACAATATGCTTACACATGGCCCACATACTGCAAAGAATGACGGCCCTTTGGTGGGCCAGATCAGGTTTGCCAGAGGTGGCCCACACATGGGCCAGCACAAGGCCAGACACACACACACTGGTGGTCCTTTGCTGGCCCATGTGTGGATTACCTCTGGCAAACCTGGTCTGGGCCACCAAAGGGCCATCATTCTTTGTTGTATGTGGTCCATGTGTAATTTGTGTGCAGCCATGGGCCAGTTGCAGACACACTGCTGGTCCAGAACAGTTTCAGCTCTGGCCCCAGATGTCAGCCTAATATGTACCTTAATCAAGCCATGTAAAAACAACATGTGCCAGAACATAATAGTGCAAAAGTAACA